GCCACAAGGAACCCAAGAAGGGCTCCCACAGGACATACATTAACATCCCACAGCACACACATAATTAAAAATAAATTTTAATACAGTTGAACTGTTCAAAAGGACTGGAATATTTTATTGTTTGGCACTGTGTACATCACAAGGTGGAATGAATTCTAAAGACATTCCTTGTCTAGTTGTCCTGATCAGTCAACAGTTAGCTCTAAGTATCTGTAAGCTCCAACGATTTTATTCTTAGGATGATGCCCTTCAACATGACAGCAGGGAGCTATTCTGAATCTGGCTGACATGTTGGGTTTATGGTGTCTCACCTAATGTGAAGGTGGTCCTGTAAATCTCACAGGAGCTGTGGTATTAGTGAAATTCATCTGAATTCCAGAAGAACGGAAGGATAAATGGCAGTTACCGGCTCCCTTTGGACGAAGATTGAGTCCCTAGATTATAGTGGCCTTGAGCAGGAGAGTGCTTTATTTAGTGATACAACACTTTCCCCAGCACAGCGGGTACTTAAGTTAACATGTTTGCTGGCATCCAGGAAACTTACTTTGTTCTCATCCTGTTTCCTACAGCCAACCCCACCCGAGTGGGTGGCCGCGAACCATACCCAGGCTCTGCAGAGGTGATCCGGGAATCCAGCAGTACCACTGGTATGGTGGTGGGGATCGTCGCTGCTGCCGCTCTGTGCATCCTAATCCTCCTCTACGCCATGTACAAGTACAGAAACCGGGATGAAGGGTCGTACCACGTGGATGAGAGTCGAAACTACATCAGTAACTCAGCACAGTCCAATGGGGCTGTGGTCAAGGAGAAACAGCCCAGCAGCGCCAAAAGCGCCAACAAAAACAAGAAAAACAAGGATAAAGAGTATTATGTCTGATCCCAAGATTCGAGAAAGACACTTGTATAGAAATAGTCTTCATTTTATCTGAGACATAATATAAACTTATTTACTTTCCTTTTTATGAAGCACACACAAAAGAAGACAGGGAATGCAATCAGGAGGGAAAACTCTTTTTAAAAAAAAAACAAGCAAACAAGTATCTCATGCTCTTGTTTCTCAAAAAACAAAAACAAAAAAATGAAAGAGAGAAGAAAGGAAGGAAAAAATTCTAAAACAAAAACCAAACAAACAAACAAAAAAAACAGGGGCCAATAAATTCCCTAACATCCGCAGTGTTTTCATTTACTCTGCCTGTCTTTATGTTGCTGGAGCATTCTAAAAGACGGTGAGGACCGCACGCATTCATAAAGCAAAGGAGTATTACATCGAGGCACAACACAAAACCAACACAAAACACAACACACACAAAGAAGCTACCTATGATCCTGGATTCAGCCAAAGTGCTAGCGCTGTCCTGAGAAGCCAGTGGGTCGGAGTGCCAGAGGAGAACGTCCGTTTGTGGGACCATCTGCAGATCACGAGGAGTTGGCCAGCTGGTGCGATGGGAGCAGGGGTTGGAAGCTGCATTTGAGACAGAGTACTGGCTTTTTTGAAGACCTGTGTAGGAACGCATTCTAAAAGCCCCTTTCTGTTTGTAAGAGAATAATAAAATAAAAGTATGGAGGCCTTATTTTCAAAAAAAAAAAATGGGAAATATAAGGCACAATTTCACACTAAAATTTCAAAACGAAAACGAGAGGGCATAGATGCAATCATTGGGAAATTTTCATGCACGCTTACTATGTTATTACATATGTTTATATAAAACCCATCTCTGTGTGCTTTCTGGACTGTGATAAGTGACGTTTTATAGCCTGTTGTATAGAAAATGCAAACTATATCTCTGCTCTTCAGCCATTTTTGGTAAATTCAATGTTATAAGTGTTGCTAAGTATAGGGAGTTTTATGACATCAGAGCAACAATTATTTCAGACAGATTTTTTTGCCACCATTATAAATTGCCACAATTACTTACTTTTTTAAACAAAAATTACAGTGTAGTGTTTATTCTAAGAAAGATATGTATGAATGTATATAAAGAGACTCAGCTACTTCTTTTCTTACATGTATAGCCTTCATTCTGTTACATTAAGTTTTAGTATTTGTATGAAAGGTGTGAATTAGAAGGTAAAATATATACCTAAGTATCATATAATCCTTTCTCTCCCCCAAATACTCATTTCGATATATGTTCAACATTCACAGTTACACACACACACACACATAACACACACACACACACACACACACACACACACACACACACACACACACATATTCAGGCAGCCATCAGATAGGATGGAACACCAAAACACACAAATACTGACAAATTGAAAAGTGCAAAGGAAGACAGTTGTGCCAAGGTATTATGACAAATGAGTGATTTGCTTCATTGAGATCCTGATTCTAGGAAACCTCAAGTTCTTAGTCCATAGTAAAATGGAACCTTTTTTTTTTTTTTTAATGAAATAGAATATCACCATATACGGCTGCATAAATATGCATCACCCTACAGGCGGGTTACGAAAAAAACGTTGGTGAATTCTGGCTGCTGCAATGGAAAACTCTGTTTCCCGTACAATTATATATATATATATATTCTCTGAACATGATGTGCGTGGTCAAGCTTTATGGAAAGTAAGCATTTTCTCAACTAAAAAAGTATTCTCAGTGATTTTTGATTCTGTATTACCACCCATTAAAATCAATCTCTATTTGTTGGCTATTGACTAAATTTTAACTTTTCTGGTTTTACATCATTATCATTAAGCATAGTTTTAGTTTAACATACATTGTGTAGTAGTGAAGTATAGGTTATACACTTGTTTTGCACATTGTTTCAATGATGTTCATAGCAATAAATTATCAATGTGAGAAGATAATTCTAAGGCTGCAGGGTGATGCTTCTGCAAAAAATTGGTCACATGACATAAACATCTCCCAAAAGTATGATACTAGGTTTCATAAATGAGAAGGATACCATTATAATCAGCTTTAATCAGCAAGGCAAAAAAAAAATGCAAAACACTTTTTGTGATAGTAAGTTGATGAAAAATATGCCAAGAAGTGGCCTGGATTTCAGACATAACAGTACCTTAGAAATATGTATATATCACAACAAATCATGACAAACTAAAGCTGCCAAGTAATTGTGTAAGAAGCCGTGAAGGCTTTTCATCACATGGAAAATAGATGGCATAAAACGAAAATTTAATACCCATTACTTCTGTTCATGGCTTCATATATTTTTAATTTGCCAGGTTAAAAAAAAAAAAACTCGCAAGTCTTTTCCCCCCTACCCCTCTCATTCAGTCTTACTCAGGGAAAGCCAGAGAAATAAAAAGGAACATAGAACCACTAATTTAAAGCTTAAAGTATATATGTATATATACTTTAAAGTATATACATATATATGTTAGCTTTTCCATTTTATCTGTTTAACTCAAACTAATTTCATCTGGAAGGATTCTAAAAGGTGATGGAAAAATACATTGCAGTGTTTTAAAATGGTCTATCTGGGAGATTTGCTGTTTGTCATTGATTTCATTATGTCCTCCCAGTATAAATTTAAAACTTTCATACATTGATAGAAACTGTATTTAATTTTATTGACCTCCACAAAATCTAGCAGGTTTTCCCCCCCTGAATGGAGAAGGAAAGGACAGGATTATGAGTTTTTGAAGGAGATAGACTTGAATACAATCCAAGTATCTTTATACTAAACATATCAGGGTCCGTGTGTCATTTCCGGTTCAGAGAAGATTTCACACTACCTGGCATAAACTGATTATATCTCTCGATTGTAACTTTTCTGATTGAGTATGCTTCTTTTTTATCCATGTAATGTGTTGCCTTTTTGAAAAACGATGATTACAATAATGTGTGAGGTGGTACATCCCTAAGATGTCAAAGAAAGGCCACTTTAATCATGCCCTTCTAGTGCTTTGAGTGACTGGGTATCTGAGGGGTTTGTTCTGTTTTGTTTTCTGTTGCAAGGCCAATTTATCCATTATTGGAAATGCTAAGCAAGTGGAATTTACTGTTTTGTTAATAAACTATTTCTTAATACAACTGTGGTTTATTGACTTTAAAAATTGCATTCGACACCATTTTGCCCCTAAATTGAGCCATGAGGAAAACTGCATTTGAAAGTAAATCTTATCTCCAGCCAAGCAGGGAAGGGGTGATGACTCAGCCTTTTGTGCGTTTTATTGCTCACTCAGGCCCTCTGTCTCCATACACTGAAGATGTGGGTGCTCCATGTCACTGCCTGGAAACATACAGAACTAGCTGAGAACAGTATGAATAAATGCTGATGTCATAAATACGCTCTCTCTGGAAGTTGCAATGGAATTAAAGTTAATTACACCTGTAATTAACTATAGAATCTGTCTCATTAGCTATGATTTCCCTAATTTTCTCTCTTCTCATCTGTACTAAGAATAATATCAGTGTTATAAAGTGGTAATGATCATACGAGCTACTGTATCCAGTACAAATAAGTGCACACAAAAGATGACTACTACGGTATTATTTTTTAGTAAGTAAGGCTTTGAGAAAACATAAAATCATGTTTGATTGTTATTTAAGAAACAAGGAAAAAGAAAGAGGGAAAAAAAACTTTAGCAAATCCTGACATACAGATGAAAAGACATGCAAGGATTATGATTACTTTTCTTAACACAAAGTGTCTTTGTGCCAACCATATGGTCCACCACTAACTTTCAATCCTATAGCTGGTAACTGTTTAAAGACCTTGGGTTGTTTTTTTTTTAACACAACTTTCCAGCAACAAAAACATTTTTCATTTTCATAGCAATGAGTTTCAACAGAAATGCTGCCTACATTAGCAGCTATTAATATATTGTTTCAGAGCCGTGTGTCATTCCTTTAATATCAATCCATGAATTTGACATGGATAGGAGAAACAACCCATATTTCTGTAATGTTTAAATTAAAGGCTGCATGATTTAGCTTTCTTTTAAAAAATGTAGAGCATCTCAAAGGTTGTGGCTGTATAAATGCTATATACAGTTACAGGCTGGTCTACTTTCATTTGACCTGCTATGATAAAATTGCTTGCCAAAGTGCAACTTAGAGGGGAAAGGGCTCATTCAGGTTTCCATTCCAAGGTGTAGTCTATCATTGAGAAGTAAAGGCAAAAATTCAAGTTGCTAGTCACATAAAAGCCACGATCAGGAGCAATGGGAAGTAAACATATGTTGGTATTTTGTATTTACTTGCTTGCTCTTAGCTAGCTGTCTCTTTTTAAACGCTGTTCAAGATTTCCTAACAAGGGAATAGTGTCACCCACCATGAGCTGCATTGTCCTACATCAATGAACAGTCAAGACAATCCCCTACAGACTAGGCCACAGGCCAACCAAATCTAGATAATTACTTATTCAGACTCTCTTCTCAAATGATACTAGGTTGTATCAAGTTGAGAGTGAAAGCTACCCAGGACACAAACCAAATATTCTTAAATTCTTGACATGTGTGGAACCTAGCACTCAATGATGGGCATCAAGGGTTATAAAACACATGTGCATATTAAAATATGATTCTAATTATGTGTATATATGATACAGGTGAATATTTTCCTGGGAAAAGTGTTTATCAAGTTTCCAAAGGACCCTGAGACTACAAAAAATAAAGAATCACTGAAACAGAAATTGGATATAAATAAAACTGTGATAAGTTTTATGCTGAAGATAAATTGTTCAGAGAGTTTTAGGAAAGCATCCAGAAGATTTCATGACTAACTTCAATAGAGTCATTCTGTTGTGCATAGGGAGTATTCCCGATAACTAGACATTCAGTCACATATTTTCTGTAGAAATTAATCTTACCTCATTATTTACAAGTTAGTTTTTCACATATTTACTGAACACTAGTATATGCACTCATCCCATATATATCCAACTTTAGGAACAAATCCATATTCATTTAGAGATCAACTTTGCCAAGGGTTGGTGTATTTATTTTAGAACTTTGAAGATGAGCTACACATATCCAAGACGCAGCAAGTTCCTATCCAAGTAAGGCATCTATCTTTTAACACCTGAAGGTCACTGATATTTAAAAATGGGAGATAGACTACGCAAAACACCATAGAGATCACCAAATAGCTTGTTATACTTACGTATACAGGAGAAAACAACTGTTCTGAAGATTTACAAAAATGAGGCATCTTGGATTTCTTTCTGATATACTTTCCTCAAGGAAGCTTAGTTATTCCAGATCAGCTTCAATAGGTACTTCCTGTGTTTATGTTAAATACTCTCGCATTGAATGTTGTCTCTCCAAACAATACAGCAATTGAGAGGAAGAACATGAGCATTCGATGGCTTCTGATGTCTCTCATCTGAATTTCACTGTGAAAAGAAATGGTAAAGGCTTCTCCACTGAGCAAAACTTGCTCAACGATACACAAAGACCCTTCAGAAAATATGGGATATTGAAAAACAGTATCAATATAACAGTGCAGACGCCCACAAGCACTGGTTGAGTGCTTCCAGTTTGTGAGAGTTTCGATGTTTACCATTTACAACAATGCTCTTTACAGGTAGATAAAACAACCTCAATAGCAATTTTTCAAATTTCAAACAAAAAATTTAAAATAAGTTTGGGCTGAAAGTCTAGGTTTGAAGTTCCTAGCTGTAGGAACTTATACAAACTTTAGTCAGCTGCAAAGGTGAGGAAATCCAACAACCTACAGGATTTTGAAGGTTAAAAAAAAAACAACAATGAATTTAATTGTTTTAGTTTTACACAGAGTATTTGATTAAAATAGAAAGAGAAACACTGTTTAACACCCCCCTACCCCCACCTCCAGAAACAAGTTGTCTCTGTGCAACAGCTCTGGCTGTCCTGGAACTCCCTTTGTAGACCCAGACTGGCCTCCAACTCACAGAGATCCATCCACCTGCCTCTGCCTTCTGAGTGCTGGGAATAAAGGTGTGCACTGCTGTGGGATGTTCTGTCTGGCAAATGTGTTGTTTTGATTGGTCAATAAATAAAATACCGTTGGCCAGTGGCTAGGAGGAAGTATAGGTGGGACTAACAGAGAGGAGAAAAGAAAGAACAGGAAGGCAGAAGGAGTCACTGCCAGCCGCCACCCTGACAAGCAGCAGGTGAAGAAGCCGGTAAGCCACGAGCCATGTGGCAAGGTATAGATTTATAGAAATGGATGAATTTAAGCTATAAGAACAGTTAGCAAGAAGCCTGCCACGGCCATACAGTTTGTAAACAATATAAGTCTCTGTGTTTACTTGGTTGGGTCTGAGCAGCCGTGGGACTGGCGGGTGACAAAGATTTGTCCTGACTGTGGGCAAGGCAGGAAAACTCTAGCTACAGTGCCCCACCACCTCTCAGCCTCACTGCTTACCTCTTTAACAGGCAGAGCACACTAGGCAGTTAGTGGGACTATCATAAAACTGTTGATCTAAGGTTAAAATTATTTTAGGTGTATATTAATATTTCTCCCAATAAAGACAATTGTATGGCACCCCATACCAAGCATTCTTTGTCTGACCATGGCTACAGGAAGGATCGTTTCTTTGCAATGCTGTGTATTTCACTGAGGGATAGTTATCTTGCTTATATACAGCTTTGCGTGGCTGTGCATTCTTTCTAGTGTTCTTTCTACCAAGCAGAATAACCCTCTCTCCCACATGCTAGCCTTCAGAATTCTATCAGCTGTCACTCAGTCCTGCTTGGGCCTTCTCTCACCCCAAATTAACATTATAGCTGTTCCCTTTTACCAAAATTATTAGCATTCTAGACTTAGTGCATTCTTTGAAGTTATCGCAAATCATATTTTTACAGTTATTAAGATGTCTCAGAGGGTTAAACACTTGCTGCCAAGCCTGAAAACCTAAGTTCCATCTCTAGGACCTACATGGTAGGAGAGAAACCAAACCCCCTCCTGCCTCATCTCCACCTCATGGAAGCTGTCCTCTTATTTCCACATCCAGGACATGCCATGGCACACCACCCCTCCCCCAACAACACACACACACACACACACACACACACACACACTCACACACACACACACACACACACACACACACACACACACACTAAATAAATGTAATAAGATTTTCTTAATAAATATATTTCTATTTATTTTGTGTGTGCATGGGGTAGAGCACACGGGAGATACTTTTCTCGAGTCATTTCTGGAGACTGAATTCAGGTCAGCAGGCTTGGTGAGCAGGTGCCTGTTGGCTGAGCCACCCTGCCAGTCCTTCAGACTTCATGTACTCTTAGCAACCTTCTCTTCAGCCTCCTATTCTCCTCACTACCGGAGCAGAATGACCGCAATGCTCAATCGGCCAATGTACCATGCATTTCTAACCTTTCTTAATTAGAAGATTTTTCTTCCTAATAACCGAATGTAAAGTTTCCTTACTGTTTTTTAATTATATCTTCTATCTTTGAGATTAGTATAATTACATAATCTCCACTTCTCTTTTCTCCAGCCAAAGCCTTCTTACACCTTTCCCTGCTCTTTCCTCAAATCCATGGCCTCTTTTCCATTAATTATTATTACATACATACAGATGCATCTGTAGTATTCATATGATCATGTGTATGAATATGCATGTGATAGATAGACAAATGTGAAAGGATTAGGGTGGGACAGAGAGCCGAGGAGGCCTAAACCTTATGCAAAGAACTACAGGCAACTAAGGAAACCTTATTGTTTTAAAAATCTATATTTTTGTATGAAATACATGCACCCAACTAAATTCTGACCAAAAGAAACCTTTGTGGTTTTTTTTCCCCCAAAACAAGATACTTTTAACTCATGCCTATGGAATTTGTTATTTGAATGTAGGTATGAGATTTTTTTAAACCTCAAATTTTATATCAAATTTGAATACTAGCAGTTATAATAAATCCTTATCTTTTTTTTTTTCACTGAATGCTCAGATACCCATGATTAGCAAATTTTATATGATCAATTGTGACAGGGCAAGACAGTGCAGAGGCTTCTCCATCTCATATTCTTGCTGCAGCCATTTTAGATTTGACTAGATTTTGACCCCCTTGATGGAAAAT